ATACGGCAAGGCTGCTCCTGTTCCAGCAGCGTACCACGCCGGATTGGCCGGTGCATTGTCAATTGTCGGACCTGGATTTCCGAACCCATGCTGGGAAGATTCGTCGTAATTCTGCATGGTGTACTGGGATAGATGGTCGGTGCTCGACATCGAATGGTGCTGGTGGTGGCCAAGCATGTAACCCGCTGCAGCACCCGCGGCTGCCGCTCCAACCGAGGCGCCGATACCATGGTTATGGGGCGGTTTGGAGGTGCTGGACGCCACGGGGGGGGCATAGGGAGCAGCCGTTGGGACAGGTTCCGGAGGCGATGTCGGACTGGCCGGCAAGGGAAAACTGCTTCCTGCTCCATAAGCAGCAGCACCAGCAGCCATCCCCGGCATGCCGAATGTAGCGTTAGATGGCTTGGGAGGCTTGGACGTTGCGCCAGCAGTTGGACGATCCGGTCGTCCTGGCGCTGGATCCACGTCTAGGTCGGCGGCGTCTGCGAAGTACGCAGCTGCTGCGCCCATCTGGCCCATGCTGCTCGGCTCCGGTGGTGGGTTGGCGACAGGCGACGCAGTCATGAGATGCGCCTGGCTGTTGGGAATGATGGATGGAGGTTTCGGGCGCACACCTGGCTGCTCCGCAACAGACTGTCCCTGATCTCCATAGTAATCGGCTGCTTCGCCGGCGGGATTCGGAGGCCGATATGGCTCAGCAACATAAGTAGGAAACTGACCTGGGAACTGCTGCTGGACATGGGGGTCATAGACCATTGGGGAATTTGGCTGAATGGGCATGGATGTGGAAACAGGCGGCAAATACGTATCGCCGGACTGAGTCTGTGACCGTTCCCGATGACGGTCGCGAGACTCTACAGCGTCGTCTTCCAATTGCGCCCGCTCGTTCCTCTCCGACCGGGGCCGTTCACGCTCACGACTCTGCGATCGGTCTCGGTCGCGTCTGCGAGAACTGCGCCCATCTCTGTCGCGAATATCAGAAAAGCGATCGCGACCGCTTTCTTCATCGGTATCTCTGCGTTTGGGTGTCCGTTCAATAATAATCCGATCGTGCTCGACCGATATGCCCGGTTCTGCCGTCGCATAGCTCGAAGCGACAGAATCGCCCGCTGCGCTGGGAGCGTATCGCTTGCTGCGGCTGCCTGAGGAAGAGTAGGCCGACAGATCGCCCAAGCCACGATCACGGTCGTCACCCCGTGAGGACTTGTGGCTGACCGTCGAAGAAGCCTTGGAGTTGGTTCGGCGGCGGCTACTGCTCTTGGAGTTGGAGGTTGTGCTGCGGGCATCGGAGGAACGGCCCCCGCCCATCAGGGCCCTGAACATGGTGGGCTGAAAAGAGCGATCAACACGATGCTCCTTGCGGCTCAGACAACCATGTGGGAATCGGAATGTTGAGTCTGGGAATGCTTCGATGGTTCAAGGCGGAGCTGGTGGCTGGTCGACTGGCGAGAGTGAACAAGAATAACAATCGTCGTAATGGTGCACTAAGTCAATCAATCCAAAGAGTAAATTAAATCAATAGATTAATTAGGTGTTCAGCGAGGGACTAAAGCAAATTCGTGACTCGTGATGCTAAAGAACGATGGCATGAACAGCGTGGAAACAAAAGATCGCTCAGTCCCAGCTCGAGAGGAGAACCTATCGAACGGATAATGGATTGTTGTTTTCCGCAAGGTAAACAAGGACAACAAACGGAGCTGAGCCGTGGTTCTTTTTCGTCGGCAGCCCCAGCCTGAACCGCTCGGATGATAGCGCTGGGTCAGCTTTGCTGCTAAGGGTGGTTGCTCCAGAGAATCGGCCGCCAAGGCGATCCAGTGGGCGGTTAGCGCCTAAGGAGCACGGTTCAGCTCTGTAGTAGTTTAGAGTATTTGAGGGAAAACAATGATGATGATGATGATGATGATGATGATGGTGATGAAGTTAGACAGTGATGATGAAAGTAAGAATGTGGGGAGTCGAGTTGATGCAGATGATAATTAGGATCCATCCAAAGATGATGACTGGATGATAATTCCCCTGAACGTGTTTACGTCTGAGATGGCAAAGAATGCCCGCAGGACTGAATCAAAAGGTGAGTGTTAGCCGACGAAATCGCGGTGAGGCTGGGGAGGCTGGTTGGCTGCACGTGCCAAGCAGCAACGAGAAGAATATGGTAGCCTTAGGCCAGGAGGCTGGTAATGAACTTTTCCAAATTAATGTGTAGATACAGAGGACTGTATAGGACGATTTATTTACTGATTGGAGATTGCTATGGTTGAACGTAATCAATCCTTCTGTGCGTCATTTCTCTGCCCGGTTCAGTAGGTACAACCCTCATAATCACTCGAGGTTTGTGGCTACCTGAACTTAGGACTGGAGAACCTGCCTCAGGTGTCCATTTGAGGCCTCTCCATAGCTGCAGTAACCTGGCCACGGACTCGTTCCCTAAAAAGCACAATGTTAAAGTACTCCCTGTCAAGCCAGTAGTCGCACACCGATTACTAAAAGTTCTCACTCAGGGCTAGACAGCATCAGCTAGACAAGCGGAGCAAACAGTCCAAGCACCAACCAGGCTCGACCAAGTCAACCCGAGTAATCAAGCTCTAATCAGCGCGCATCAATCTCTCCAACCACGACCTCAGCGAATGCTGGAACCAAGGTGGAAAGCTCCTCAGGTTCCGGGCCAGCCACCCCGACGAACCCGGCACAACAACATGCCCACTATTCCCCGTGAGGATCTGTCTCACCAACTGCTCCGCGACCGTCTCCGGCTTCAGCAGCGGGTTGTACCACGTATCCTCAGGAGTTAACCGCCCAATGAGCGCCGTCTGCGTGAATCCCGGCGTGAGCAGCACGGTCCGCACCCGCGGGGCATGGTACCTCGTCACCAGCTCTACCGCCAGTCCCTCGTGGAACGAAATCGCCGCGGCCTTGGTGGCGGAGTAATCGACGATATTGGGGGTGGTGGTGTATCCCGCCAGCGAGGCAACGGTGGCGACCATGCCGTGGTCGCGTTTGACCATGTGCGGCAGAAACTCACGCGCGAGCCAGTAATGCGCGAGGGTGTTGACCTCGAACTGGATGCGGGTCTCCGCCTCCGTGCTGCCGAGGATGGTCTTGTCGCTGCAGACTCCGGCATTGTTGATGAGGACGGTGGGCTCGCCTAGGCTTGCGCGGATGTCGGCGGCGACGGCCGCGATGGCCGAGGGCGAGGTGATGTCGCATTTGTGGAAGCGGACGGTGGGCGGGAGGCGGTCCTGGTCCTCCTGTGGTGGGTGGATATCCAGGATGGCGACCTTGATGCCGCGGTCGCCGAGCAGCTGCGCGATCCGTCTGCCTATCCCATTGCTGCCACCCGTCAGCACAACCACCTCGCGATTCCAGTCGAACCGGTCCGAGACGCCATTGTTTACGGTCCGGGCGTTAAGCCAGGCGTTAACACGGCGGAGGGCGGCGAGGAAGGTGAGAAGCTGGAGGACCTGGAAGAATCGCGGATGCTCGAGGGCGAGTTGGTGGCCCTTCGCGGTGTACTGGGCCAGCAGCAGGAGAGGGAGCGTCTTCCAGGGACTCAGAAGCGTGCTCTGAATCAATTTACCGAGGACATCGGCCGTGAACCCTATCCTCCGAGAGAACACGCTCTTTTAGACCCAATAGCCCAACAGACAGTTGACATTTGGGATGTGAAGCAATCAGACCAACCTTCGCGTGAGAGCCACCTTCTTTGTGTCACCATGGTGGAAATCAATGAAAGTGTTTTCCTCCAATTCCAAGATGCAGACACCATCTAATAATCAGGTTATGCTGGACGATGGCCCCTTGGACCCTTTGATCTAGAGGATGACCTCCTTAATGAGTGATCTGCGTATATAGGCGAGCATGAGGGGTGTCGCTGATTGTCCAAGGAAGGGACAGCGGGGAAAGGTCAGAAGCAGCCGAGGTGGGCTCTACGGTCCCTCGACAATGCTGCCCTGTCCATTGGCATGCTAAGGCTAAGGCTAGATATTCAGCGTTCATGAAATGTCTGTCCTACAATTGACGGATATAATGGGTGCAATTCACTGGTCATTCACTCAATCACGGATTTTTCTCCTTGCCGAATTATGCGTTGTACAAGTGAAACCTGGATATTCTCCGAGCAGGAACAAGTCTCTCCGTCATCTCTACAGTCACACCACTGTCCCTGTTGTGCATCACGCATGACAAGTGCTCCTGAAATGCAAGTCTTTATTGGAATGAGTAACGTACGCCATTCGACAAACAGGCCCTATCTTGAACTCTTATAATGAAGACAATGACCCAGTGACACCAAGATATGGTATGACACACCATCACTTCCATCCCCAGCAACTGGGGACAATCATCCGTTAGACTTTAGGCAATTTCGCATACAATATTCGGCCGTCCATCTGTCCAATAATGCAGGTAGCCAGGTCTGTTGGCGATCATCAGCCCTGCTTCGCGGAAAATGCAACGACACGATACCTCCCGTAGGTACAGTCACAATGGTAAGGTGTAACTAGCGCCGTTTGAACAACAAGGAGGAACAAGGTATCAAACCAAACAAAAAAGGGTCCGAGGCTAGATGATGCCGGTATGATCAGAATAATTCCAGGTAGCCACCCATCCGTTCCCAATGCGCAGCAAATTATATCAAAAAGAATAACCCAAGATGTTGAAGCCCTGCCCAAGAATGAATGATGATAAAACAAAGAACCGCCGTGCAAGACACCTATGTATGTATGTTATATATGAACCGTGCCATGTCAGGCATCAGTATATGCAAGGGATTCAAGGGTCGAAGAAAAGAGCATGGACAAAAGAGGGAAGAGAGGTTCGAGTCGATTATGTCCTAGAAAAGAAAATAGATTCGAAGGATCGGTATAGATGGGATAGTTGGTGTTTGTAGAAGCCCCCATTTTGGTGAGGAGGTTTACCTTTTCAGGCGACCCGCGGGAATACCGTGCAGGCGATGTTCTTAGGCGGTCTCCCCCGGCGGCAGCGAGACGGGAAGCGGTATGAACCTAGCTATAGGCGGATGAGAAACTCGTGTTGGCGGGCTCTCGAAAAATCTTCTCGTAGATTTCGGTCAGGATCCGTGCATCGGCTCGAAGACTAGGGGAGATATATCGGCTCTGCAACAGGAATCTAATTGTTCGCTTGAGAAGTTTCTCCAGCACATTTCGGTCCACTAGCTCTGAGAGACAGGACATGTAGGTCGCAGACAGCACGAGCATATTGCCGAATTGCGCATGAGCAGTTCCAAAGATATTTGTCACGATCGGACGACCTTCGATCCCATCAAAGGCCTCTGTACTCAGAATTGCAGAGTCGATGCATACTTTGCAGGCTCGTCGTAGCTTAGGCGGAAGGTCTCGGTATGCAATGGTGCCCATCGAGCCTCCTTGGAAGGAAGTGGGGGCGCTATGGACTGCTATGCCCATATCACTCGACAGACGTGCCATGTTTGAAGCCCGTTGACTGTGTGGTAAAGAGGGCGAAACCTGCTGAGATTTCGAGCCAGAGAGAACGGACCCGGCGGGCGACTCGACTGACGCGGAGGTTGGATTGGGATTTGGGAGTCCAGCAAAATGCAGAGCATGATATAGAAGAGGACGATGGATGATGTATCGCGCGCCGTAATATTTGGCCCGCATGCGAGCAACGTTTATGTCATTTGAAGGGGGATCAGTGTCTTTCCATTTCATGATCTCTGGAAGACTATTTCGCCACAGTTCGAGATTCATGCTAAGAATTTCCTGCACGTTTGAGGTCCACCGGTTGTTGCTCGAGCTGTTCATAGTTGTAGTATTGCTGGAAGGATTAGCTGTGATTGCGGCGATTGCAGCGTTGACAGCGCTCGCAGAACCAGCAGCATTGGTGGCACTGCCCGGGTTTGCAGTGTTAGAGCCTTGTTGTCCTATCAAGGTATAATTAGCGGTCTTCCTGGTGATATGGCCTTAGGCGCCTTACTCTCAACTTTGTACAGATCAGTGTGGACACGGTTAAGGACTTTCCGGAGGTGGATTTGGGCAGAATAGAAAAACATCATCATGGTACTGGGCGCGCAGATCTCATTTGGCAAAGCAAGTGTGAAGCGTCCCTTTGGTAGACCTATACGTGACTCTGCACGAGAAATGCCACTGGCGGGAAGATCAAGTTCTGCAAGAATATCACTACATTCTGAGTTAGTTGGGCCCGCAGGCTAGATCTGACAGTGACACCATCACAAGCATACCTCTCAAGCTGAAGACATGTCCAATACGCGAAATCATAGAGGTCTTTCAGGGGGCCGTCCTGCATCTGGTCATAGCGTTTCCTGGTACTGCGGTCAGCAAGCCACCTTGAGGGTTCAGTTCGGCTTTGGACAAAAGCTTACGATCGAATGAGTACTTGGCAAGCGCGAGCGGCTTGGTATATCCACCCATGACTCTGGAAAGGATGCGCCAGCTGGCCGGCGTAAAGTCCTGCGAGCAAAGCCGCTTGAACATGAAGCAAACCATTGGCCCCTTGAAGGCCGCCAAGGATCTGCGTGGCATATGCATAATAAGATAAACCCGGAACGACATCGACGTTTCTGAGATGTCGATTGGCAGGCACGTCTCGGCCCGATGACCCTGACCGCCCTCCGACGCTTCTCCGACCGTCAACAGGTGAGGGAGACGGGACAGCTTGGGGTGCGTAGAAGCTCCCCTGCGCTGGAAGAATCATGTCAGATCCAGCGGGAGAAAGGACGCTACGGGTGGGCGGGCCAGGGATCCACTCTTTGCGAAAATCCGGGGGGTTATCAGTAACAGGAACGGGGACTGGTGCTCCCACTTCGCAGATGCTGCCCAGCGCAAGCACGAGAAGGAGAACAGCGTTGTCAATTGACTTTTCGATGCGACGGCTCGTCGCTTCTGTCCTGACGCCAGCGGAAGTTGGAAAATCGCACGCTGCACCTTGCAAAGTTTCACATGACCTTTTCCTTTTTGCACCTCGTGGCATGTCGCCTGTCCCTGTAGGCGTCGATCCGGAAGTCTTCGGTAAGCAATGGAACTTGATGAACATTTCGATCTTCTTGTCCAGGTCACCCTGGTCGAGGAAGGGATGAAGCTTGTGTATGTGCTGAAGGTAACTGCGATGATAGCGACGGACGGTGTCCGGATCGGCCCACAGAGTACCATACTCGTCAACCCCCTTGTCTCGAAGCTTCTGCGGGAAACCACTGGGATGAGAGCTCTGCGTCCAAGGACTACTCGGCGATGCTCGGTGGGTGTGAGTATCATCCCATCCGCTGCTGGAATTCGAACTAGTCAACGGGGTTGGCGACATGCGATCCTCACTTGCGTCGTCGCCCTCACCACGGCCATAGACGCGAATCAAGCCACGTCGCTCTTCAAGCTTCATCACATAATCCTCGTCGTACTCGCGGGGATAGAGTAGATTTTTAATCGACGGCCAGGATAGCAGCTTGTGGGCAGCCGTTGTATGTTCCACGGGGATGGACAGCTCGCCGTCCTCCCTCTCCACGTAACTCTGTCCTGGGAGGTCATTCGAATCCAACTGCTGCATTCCCTCTCCATTCTTTGATTCTGACTCAAGCAAAAGATCAGCAGCACTTGGTTTCAGCAATCTATCAAGTGTCTGCTTGGGTGGCATTGATCGGGTGGCATCTTTGACAGCCAAAAGTTTCGGCTCTTTCAACCCGACCTCGTTGGAAATCTTACTAAGCTGCATCCCATGTTCCATCTGTACAGTTTGAAAATGCGTCAGACGCTCGTCGAGCTTATCTTCCAGATATTGTATCTTGTCCAAGATCTGCTGGGTGGCCTTTTCCTGTCTAGCTTGAGGGTCAGTAACCGACAACCAGCCAACCGAAGGACAGAGGTCAGGCAGGTCACGCACTTGTGGGGGGGAACTTCTTTATAGACACATATCAAATTGTTCTCCTTGCAGTGGCTGCAGGCGGGCCGCCCTTCATCGCACTTTGCCTTCCTTGCTCTACACTGGTCGCAGGCCTATTTATATTATGGAAGAACGTAAAGTTAGTCTATTTTCTTTGTATCCGGCGCAGTCTCTTTTTCTGCGCCATGGAAAAGAGACAGTCATTACCTGTTGAGCCCGGGCAGCCTTGCGCTGGCGCATACCAAAGGCCTGATTTTGGTAATAGTTCGGCTCATAGGGAGCAGGAGTATGTGAAATATGCGGGACCGGCGTCGGAAACTGAGCTGGAGGCATCGTATGTGGAGCTGGAGGAGGGGGAGGGGGGCCATCGCCATTACTGCTCTGTTCTTGAGGGGGATATGTCATCCGCGAACGAAAGTCGGGGGGCGCCGAATGAGGAGGAGCTGGATGCGTTGGTGTCGAATGAGGGATGGAATCATGCGAAGCTCCATTCATAGGGCGGAAAGTCGGCGGATGGGATTCCGTCGGGGTGAGACTGGGAGCAGGCAAACTATTTGGCCGACCATACGGCCCGTCGGGAGGTAGCTGAGGCAACTCTCGATTCGGCATGACAGGATACCCATGGGGCAGGGAAGGTTGAGGGGGGTTGGAGGCCCGTCGCTGCTCCGCGTGATGCTGCTCGAAGGACGGCGGGTAGGGGCGCCATGGCTGATCGTACGCCCCCGGCGCATTTGCCAGGCCATGCGCCGCCTCAGGAGGAATGCGATGATGCATTTGAGGAGGGGGGGGAGGGCCGGAGTAAGGAGGGAGCGAATGTGACTTATCGTCCGTTCCAATCATTTCGACAATGGTAGGTCCGCACCTCCGGCCGGTGACTCCAGGTTGCCGTAAATCCGCTACGAACGGTCTGTTCAGTGCGACAGTCATACAGTCATGAGGACATGTTGCAGTCCCGCAGAAAACACAATGTGCAATGTCAAGTGAGCGGGTGGGGTGGAGGGATAGTGAGAGTTGGACAAAGCTCAAGAGCTTCCCGAAAGAGGTAATTCAGCCGGTCAATTCTTTTAGCTCTCGATAGTCTGCGTTGCGCGTTTCGCTCTTCTATTTTTCTTTTTTTTTTTTTCTCTCCGTCCCTCTTTTCGGATCGATATCTTCCTTTGAAACGTTTGCGACCAGGAGCTCCGAACGATGCAATCGAACGGTTAGAGGCGCAGTTTGCGGGATGTATTGACTGACGGGCGATGGCAGTTACGAACGCGCAAGGCACGGTGAAACAGCTTTCCGATAGCTATCCAGGAAGAGCCAGCAATCCGTTAACTAGGAGTGAATTAAGAAATGAAGCAAGAATTAGACAAGAAAATGATCGAAGCAACGACAATTGAGCAGCCAGGACGAAGGAAGGCTAATGCAACGGGATACCCAAGGAGATGGTAAGGATAGCAGGAACGGGCAAAAGCAAAGCGGATGCACAGTAGCGGACCGTTCAAAGGTACCAAGCCAGTTATAGCGCAACGGGGGGAAGAGGGAAGAGCAAGAGATCTGCGTCCACACTAATTGCAGTGGGCACTCGACCCTGGTAAGGTGTTGGCAGGGGGAGGTACTTTATTAGTAGCTTCAGATAGAGCTGACCAGGGTTGAGAATTGGGGGTACATGTGGTGGCATCATTAATATAAGAAATCAAGCTGACTCCGCTTCGAAAGGGAAAAGAAGGGGAAAGGAAGAAAAAGGTACAAATTGGCAACTTCATAGATCCATCTGGCACAGTCCAAAAGCCAGTAAGGACTGAAAGATGGTAAGGTAGTACGATGGTGATAACGACAGAAACAACCCACCTCGGTGAATGAAATGCAGTGTGGATGAAAAGAAATGAAGAAAGCAAATAGGCAAAAAGGATGGGAAAACCAAGACAAAATGATGATGGGATCATGGGGCACTTACACAAGAATAGACTAGGTATCCATCCAGAAAGGATAATGCGAATAGAATGGATACACCAGAGGTTTGCCTTTTCACACTCCGATCCTTCGGGAGATAGATAGCTGTTAGCCAAGGTCGGTAAGCCAAGCTGTCGGGTCGCCCTGGGTGTGTCAAGAGTCGATTGAGCAAATGGTGGCAGAGCTTGAGGTGTCCAGAAAATAATAAGGTAATAATAGTAAATAATAATAATATCGAATAATAATAACAATCACCTCAAATTTTTATCAAGTGGTTAATGGTAACGGTATTAACGCTGAAGAAACGCGGAGATGGCCCCAAAAGGGCAGGCCGGTTTGGATGGAGCAGGAGCTGGAGACTCGAGGGGCGGAAATATGATTATTAAGGGTGGGAAGTGAGGATGAAGGATCCGAGAATCGATAATCCCCGTGATCAAGATAGAAGGAGGGGGTTGGAAATGTCGGTTGTGTTGTTGACTGTTCAATAGTTCCACACTGTCACCATGGAATGGCAGTAACAGCCTGTTTACTGTAAGGTGAATATCGTGGATTTGCGACTGAGAGATCGAAGGAAAGCGATCAGGAAAAGCAGATGTGGCCGTCGGAGATTGCTGTTGGTGCTCCTGGTACTGACGAGACTGATGAGGAGATGGTATAGAAGGATGCCAGAAAATGCCCCTCCTTGATAGCAGTCCTCTCTCCTTTGATTCGGTTGGCTCAGGTTCTCTTTTTAGTGGAGGAAATGTCAGTAAGTAGATAGGTACCTGAGGTGAATGGATAATAATCGAGGTAATGAACCTCTGGCTCTGTACTAAATCAAAAGAAGTACGCAGAAGTAGAAAGGCACACTTTTCTGCGTATCTCTTGTTTCTCTGATCTTCTGTTGCTTTTCTTTTCTTTTCGTTTTTGACGCGCGCGTCCTTCTGACTGACTGGGTGTCGTTACTTGTAACCTGAGCCAGGATCCTAGTTCGCATGTACTAACACAAGCCACCAGAATTGACAGATCGCTTTTTGGTCCTTGTTGGGGTTCCTAATTATTTTACACCTCCAGGTCTGAGAGGCGTCTCGATTTCTGCTCTCCTGAGGTATTTGACTGCTACACTGGAGAAAAAGAAATAAAATGTAAAATATAAAATATAGAATAAAACATACGGAGTAGAATAATCATGAATCATGATAATAAATAAATAGTATGGAAATGCAAATACCTCCTACTACGGAGTGGAGCCTAACGAAACTAATATTAATGGAGTAACTGAAGCTATGGAGCAAAGCTGTCTGCTGATGTGCGGGATCATGGACGGGCTGAAGGGACGTAATAATAATAATAATAATTCTAATTCATTTTCACCAGAAGCATTGGAGAACCTCCGTACTCCATACCGATCTGCTCATTCTGAGCCTCCTGAATAGCCTGCAAATAGATAACGATTAGCGTTTCCGCGAGGTTTTCTGAATGTGAGTTTCTTCAATTTCCTAATTTGTAGTTGAGTTCCGCCACTATTTAGGGCGTAGCTCCATGAGCTGTCTGAAATATGCCACATGGACAGTAGCAAAGATATGGAGTAAAGAGGACGGAGGACTGGAACGGAAATGTTCCCACACCGTTTGAGGACCGCTCTTCATCTTTGGTATCGTTGATACATGACTATCAGCATTGAGTTTGGAGACCAAATCTTATTCCTAACCGACTGTCTGGGAAGAGGAAAGTATAGACTAGAGTGTGGGTAGATACCTAAGGTAAACGGGTTCTGTTGTTGATACCCAAGTTTCGGAGGGGGTGGAATCCATCAGGAGCACTAGACAGACACACGGGCAATTCCCGAATACTCATGGATACCCATGCGGCCATGCCTTGCTCACCATTGCCTTTAATCATTTTTATTCTTGATCAGCAAGTAGACTATGACTTTCAGCCAAAATCAAACATTGTTTAAGAGATCAGATCAGGAATGGAGGGGACTCGGAGTAGACACTGATGGAGCCACGGATCGAATGGTCGACATCCTCCTCCCAAGTGTGCTAATGGATGATGATCTGACTGGACAGCAGAACTGCCAATTGCCATCCAAATCAAATGATCATTACTACCTACCTTGGCATCTTCGTTTTCATGTCATTTTGCGGTCAGTCACTTTGACAGTTTGACTGTTATTGATTAGCAAGGGGGCTCCCTATTTTCGTGTCCATCTCCCTGTAAAACTCAATCTTGAAGTCTAAACTGCATCTTCCTGGAGCGATTGCTTCAGAAACCGGAGGTGGATATCCACAGCCATCCCAGGTATTCTGAGAAGCGTTCGACTTGATAGGCGGATGATCCTGATGGATACTCACACGGGATACTGGTACTGATCGAGCCAAGGGGGAGGGGCTCCCCACAACAGGCGAGAAGGAATGCATGATGTGACCCTGAAAGTGTGCTGCATAAATGCCCCACGCAGAAGACGGTGAGAATCATCAGGTTGCTCTGTGGCTGCTGCAGTAGAGTCCTGATGTTGTTGTATGGAGCGCCAAGTGGCCTACACAGCATCGTTTTCCAGATCCATACCACCATCTATACTTGCCATACGGAGCAGAATCATCCCCTCCATTTATCAACCAGGCCAAAATAAAATGCCAGCTGTCCCCTGGTTCCCTCCGCATTTTCAGGCACAAGTACAACCACTCTTTCCCAACCACAGGGAAAGAGGAGACGGTAAGTTACGGGAACGGGTGTCACGCGTTCTGGCAGTGGTTGTGGTTGTGGTTCACCGCGGGATTAGCTCCATCTTAGATCTCGGGTGATGCTCGGCAAACAACATCTGGAAGTGGAACTGACATCCGAACCAGGGGTGTTCCTCTCTATCCACAGAGCAAATGTAGATTTCGAATGCTGTGCTTGTAGCTGTCAGTATTTGCAGAGATTTATTCAGGATCACTTGACAGGTAAATATTTTGCACCTCGGTATGGATAATGGATGCCCCCTCACTTAACGAGCAATGATAGCCCGGTCAAAGCTCTACAGCGCACTCAGAAGTGCTGGGTGCCATACTGAAGACACAATTGAGCATATAAAGTCAAACCGGCGTTCTCTGGAACTGAATCCTTTGAGAAATCCCTAATCCATTAGAGCGGTGAAAACGAATCATCTTGGCTTTGGAAAAACGGAGAGGTACGAAGTCTACGACATGTTGATAGATCACAGGTCTAAATGACATGGTCTGATTGCATTTGCCACTTCTCCTTTGTTCGCTACTAGAGTGGTTTTGTGTGATCACGGGAGAACGTAGAACACTAGAAAAACTGTTTCATTCCTACGGTGCTATTCTACAATGTTACCTACCTATCCTTAACATCATCAAACGTCCAACTATGGTCGATCCCCCTCGAGCTGATTGATGATCTACGCAAGGAAATAATTTCCTAAATCGATCTATGTTATAGTTATCATATTATTCTACGCTTTACCTGTGTCTGCCTCCAGTTGATATGATGTAGTCTACCTCTCTAGTTGTCGTCAAGTCCCGAATGAAATCACCTAGTGTCGGATTGTGGATCGTCCGCCTAAAATTCCATGATCCCGTCCCCTGGAACCTCCGTCGGTTGGCAGCATCATATCTGTTGGTTGGATCATTCAGCCGAAACAGGCGGTCCACAACTTTCTAACACTCAAGTACGTATTCAACAATGTGCACGTCACAGGAATAATTCGACAACTTTACGCAAATTTACTGCAAAGGATGAATGGCATCAAAATCTTGCCCAAACAGAGTAAGTACGTAGTACAGCCCTCGTTCAAGCCTCTTTCTCTGTAAGGACAAAAACTAAAACACCCCACAGGACAAGATCTACTACAGTATCCACCCGAACGGCGGACAAGGCATCGGGTCAGAATGAACGAAATGGAAGCGTCCGCCGTCCGGACGTCCATCTTGCGGATGATGTACATGCATACTGCAATGTATGTATGTATGACAGAACCGGAAGATGGTCAGGTGCCTGAAGCAAGG